TGGACACGACCACCACAAACTGGCCATCCCTGGTGCACTGGACAGTCACTGGAGGAAAGCAAGAGCTGGTAAACCAAGCCTGTTAAGCTCATCATAGAAGATGCTCAAGATCCCAAAACCCACCTTCATTCCCATAGTAACAGCTATTCCGGCTGGTCGGATCAAAGCAGCAATTCTTAGCTTCACAGTCACTTTTACTGATAGTCAAGTTACCACATGCTATCTTATCACTGTCATTAACCAGGCACTTCTGAACCTGAGCTACAGACCAATCCAACGCCAGCAAAAACACCACACTGTACAACCCCATCCTCCCTCTGATCATGAACTTCTCCATCGTGAAACTCGCCGAGGAATGGCAAACAAGCTGCGCTCAGCTCCTGAAATACTCGCTGCGCCCTGATTGGCTGAGGGCAGCGATTGGAGGGCTGTAGGGCCGGAGCGCGCGCACGAGGATTTCGGACACTCAGAGGGTCGTCAGACTCAGCTGATTAATCACGGAGCGTCCTGTTCGACTGGAACGAGCTATCACGCGGGTTAAACTAATGTATCTGACTCAAAACTAATTTATGGCGTCTGTTAGGGTAACCATATTTTGTTTTTCAAGAAAGAGGACGTGGGGACGAACATCGACACTCGACACATGCCTCCAAAGTAATGAATCTTTATTACGTTTTCTAATCAAAAAAGCAATTTAAACTCTCTAGTTTTTATTAATCTTCTTAGTAAACTTTTAAACACCTGCAGGGGTGCTCTTTCTCTTCCATTTTGGCAAACAAGGAAAAAAAATATAGCCCTATTTTTAAAAGGTTTCTTTTTTCATTTTAACACAAAAGTCTTAACGTCTGAGAAAAAGATAGGACTTCTCCTAAATGATCGATTTGGCTCTACCTTTATTTCTATAATTCATTTATAATCGTCAATTAATAATGTTCTATGCCAGGCGTTCAATTTATTAACGTTCATTTGAATTGAAAAGACGCAGAGTACATTATACTGCGTTTTTGCGTTGTATTACTAAACATCGTTTTTACAGAATGAATCGGTATGCTCATTACTCTCCCCAACGAGCAGAAGAGTGAGATGTAAGAATATTTCAACATGAATTCGTCCGCTGGTTTGGCGCGAATGTTTTCTTGAAAGAGCGCTAGAAAAACACGCGGCGGCTGTGACAGGGGCCAGGCGACTCTCCCGGCCAGCGGAGGTTAAAGCCGCGAGTTCAGCGTTTTGTGCTGAAACCCCGGGGGAAGACTGGGTCGACAAAACCACTGGGTCTCTCCCCCTGTGAAAGAAACATTCGTTTCCTTGTGACCGGTATAAAGCTGGATAATACGATACACGTTTGTGAGTAAAATGCTTCTGCTCCTGGGAAGGGCAGGAACAATCGCTACCAGCACAGACGAGAATCTCGGTCCCTAGCGTCCCCATGTAGTTTCACAGAAATTCCTGCATTTTAATCCCATATTCTACGGCCTAAAGGGAGAGTGATTCGTCCAATATACATACACAAGGGTCTTTACTAGTTTCTACACCTATCTCTGATGTACAATAGTCCTCTAAAGGTATCTGTATGATAGACCTCCAACCATTTATGTATAGTGATCAAATACAGTAGAATCTCATTCTAGACAAATTAAGGACCACATTTAATAGGTGTATGTTCAACATCTCCCCCCCCCAATAGAAAAAGAGCCCTAAAATCCTGTCTCCAAGGATACATTGCAGGAGCACTTGTGCCATCTCCTCTAGTAGAACTCTCCTCCAGGCAAGCTTGAAAGGGTAGCTATTGTTCCCCCTTGATTTTATGTCTCTGCTCTTTTGCCATTGAGCAGATACTAAGGAACAAGTCTGAGACTCCCACAGGAGCCTGACCAGCTGGTGTTCTTCCAAACAGCAGGAGGAGTCTGCTGGAGGAGCTGTAAGAAGAGTGGCCATAGCCTCAGACAGCACAGCATTCATACCCAACCCATACAGATCCCCCCTCCAGCACAGCAAGAAGCAGCTCATGACAAGAGACCCTTTGCAACCAGTTTATTGCTCATTCACATCAAGTCAGTTCATGGGTTTGTGTTGCTT